GTCAGTTTTATTGTTTAGCTGAAGAGCGGGGCGAACTCAGGTACAGAAAAGATCGGCTTACCCCTCACAGGCTCTTTACCTGTACAATAGAATTGACGCCTGAGCTGTGAAACAAATTAACGTTGGGAGTCCATAAAATTCTTATAATTCTGGACAAACTTCAATTCAGTGCCATCCTAATGTATGGAAGTTCATTAAATGTTTTAAAAAAAAACACTTTTCAAACAAATTGACAATAAAGCAAATTTTGGCACATAATTTTACACTTACTCAGGAAAACAGTGTATAAATAATTAACAAAACGTATCAGGACCATTATACATAAGTACGAAAACTACAAAACTGATGATTGTGTTGGAGGTGTTTCCCACAACGTTCAGCTAGGGTTATGAATATATATATATATATATATATAAATATCTATTATCTATGTGTGTTTGTATGGAACGTACATAGATTTTGATAAAATGTATTTTTTTAATAATTCTAGTTAAATACAAAAAAGACTTATTTTGTTGAGTACTTAAAAGGACCAACGAAAAAATGTTCATAATTTCATAAAATAGTTACTACAAATTACGCCTTATTAATAAAAAAATGTTTATTAAAAATTGCGGAGTTCATATTTTTTTCATTTTTAAAGCAACTACAAAATTTAATACTTGACTGACTACAAGTAAATTATTTTTAATTCGATATTTATATCTTACCTGTATTTCAAATTTATTGAATGTTAAGAATCAGAAAACAAAAAAATTTAATTTGTATGAAAAGAAAATATTTCGCAATGAATTTACCTTACACGGAAACATTGTAATGGACTCAATTTGTAATAAACTTTTGAATAAATCTGTATAGTTTGGATCAAAAAATAAACAGTCACAGAACCGAAACAAGAAGCAAAACCAGTGTTTAAATGAGTTCAAGGAAAAGAATTAGAAAAGTAAATACCTCTCCGCTAATACCCCAACTATTTGGATAAATATAGACAGCAAAGGTTTTGTTTTGTTAAAATAATTCTGTTTTCTTGTAGTTTTTTTATATAATACGTTGTCCTCATCTTAAAGACAAATGATTAAAGAGTGATTTCTCATTAAAGAAAGAATGATTTTATTATTATTATTATTATTATTATTATCTTTACCGAGCAGAGGTAACCTATTATGCTCGTCAGAGGGAACACATTATAGCAGCTATTTTCGGTTTACTACTATTTCTTCGTTAAGAAGTGTTCGGGTGGATGGTAGATAACGCAATATTTTATAACACATCATTCAGATGCATATTTAAACCTTTTTTAAATGAATTAACAGTTCTCGAGTTAACAATTTGTTCATCTAAATTATTCCATAAATGGAACACCCTGTTGGTTAAAAAGTTTTGACGCCACCTTGTTTTATATTCCTCATGAAATAGTTTCGATGTATGTCCACGTAGTCGAGATGTGTTAGCCATAACAAATATATTATTTAAATTAATACTGAATTTATTTGACAGTATGTTATAGGTGCAGACAAGATCATTTACTATACGACGTTTTTCTAAGGATGGAAGCTTTAATTCTGTTAATCTGTTTTCATACGACTTGTTCTTTAAGTTTACCACAGTTTTGGTGTAGCGTCTTTGAACTTTTTCTAATAACTGTTTATCCTTAATAAGATATGGTGACCATATCACACTGGCATATTCGATAATGGGCCGAACATACGAGACAAAGAGTTTTTTCATTAGGTCCCCGTTTGGATTAGTAAAAATTTTCTGGAATAGATAAGTTTTAATATTAGCTCTTTTCACAACGTGTGCAACATGTTCAGAAAATACGAGTTCTTTGTCAATTAAGACACCCAGGTCGTTTATTTCACGAACCGTCTTCAAGGAATGGTTTTCAATTATATAATTTGTATTTGGATTATTTTTCCCCAACCGGAGGACAAAACATTTGCTGTTGTTTAACGGCATTAACCAGTCACAAGTCCATTTGTGTATGATTTGAAGATCATCTTGAATCGCCTGCGAATTCTCTAGTGGATTTCCATACAACCTGCCATCATCAGCGTAAAAAGAATGGGAAGACTTTATCAAAGCTAAGAGGTCTGATATGTATAAAACAAAAAGAATCGGACCTAGTACGGATCCCTGTGGTACGCCCGATAGGACTGTGCGCTTAGTAGAATAGAGTGAGCCGACTTTGACTGAAAAAGATCGATTTTTAAGAAAGGCCTCTATCCACCGTAACAAAAGACCCCGAATACCAGCTATTTCCAGTTTGTACAATAAACGACGATGAGGAACTCTGAAACTTTTGTTTTTATTTATATTTCATGTTATGTGTCCGTAGTTTCCCCACTTTTCAGGGATACGGAGCACTCAATTAGTATAGTATGTTGTAACGAGTGGATCAGGTTAGATAGAAAGACGTGAACCTACGACAGTTGATTGCAAATAATTAATCGCAAACAACTCGTCGCAAGACAATTGGTCGCATGCGACAACTGATCGCAACATCAACTCATCGCACGTAAATTCATCGCAAACATCGTAAATAATTTTCTTTCATATTTTTTTGTACTTTGATTCTCAACTTGGAATGAGTTTAAAATTGAGATAAAATATAAAGCCCGGATTAAAAAAAAATCTTCTAGTTAATTAGGTAACCAACTTTAAAAATGAAACAGTACGACCTTAAACCACCTTGGCAATTTTTAATCAAGATTTCTTTATTAACAAAATAGTAAACACCATTTTAGATAGTAAGAATATGCTTCATTATAATAACTTTAACAAAGCAAGCATTTATGTTACTTATTAATTAGAAATATTAAAAATTACATTTTATAAAAGTATAAACGATATTTAGATGTAATAGTTATATTCATAACTTTGGCTGAATGTTGTGTACTAACATAATCATTAATTTTATAGTATTCGTAATTCTGTACAATAGCTCTGACACGTTTCGTTAAGTCTGTATACACTTTTTCCTCACAACTTTGATACAAAAATACAATACAACAGCACATTTTTGAACATTAATTTCTTTTCACAACACTCAAAGGTGCTTTGATTTGAATCAATACGCATAGTTATTGTCCTTTTTTCTCTTAAATTTTTACTGCAACTTTACTGTGATGTTGATATTTCAGAAAATAGTTTTTGCTGATGCATTCCATAATAAAATTACATACAGTGCGATTCTTTAATTTTGCGATAATTTTAATAATTTTTGTGAATTTAGTAGATACTTCATTCTATCTTCCATATTAATAAAAATTACGTATGTTCTTTGTAAACGCTATTATTTTTCGTTTGCAGTCAGTTGTGGCATGCGACCAGTTGTACTTGCGACAAATTGTGTAGCGATGAATTGTTACTGCAATCAATTGTCAATATGTATAACCAGTTGTTGCGACCAATTAGCGCTGCGATCAGTTGTTTGCGATCAATTGTCGCGCAACGATGATCAGACGCGGTACCATCCTCAACGCCGAAAAAAAGTATCGATTTTTTTTTAAGCTATTCAGTTACGTTCAAGTCTTTTCAATATTTTCAGTTCTTCTGACACATACGTATTTTATATCAATTTGTTAAATGTTGGTAAATATAAATAAATTAATAATAGTCTAATATTATTAGTTATTACATAAAAGTTTTGCAATAACCTTAATGTTTGACTACTCTGAAAAAGTGTTTATTTTACATTAATATTCTTAGAGATTGTTAAATAGCAAAGTATACTATTGTTGATGCTATTAGTTATGAGTTTTACACGAAAGCTAATAAATTCCATAATTGCACGAAGCACAAATGGCTGCTTTATCATTTATAATTTTTCTTCGTTTAAATTAAATACGAATACAAAATGTTTTAATTTCTCTTATGCGTAAAATCAGAGAAAATTCTGCTGCTACGAACCCAAATTAATTTTAAACGGGGCATTAATTACATTGAGAGAGCAATAATAAACACTACTAAAGATAGCTATGGATTTCTGAAGATTTGCTTTTAAGAGAATTTTCGTCTTGTCAGATTGCCGTCAGTTTAAAGTTTAAGTAGAAAATACACCAAAAGCGTCCAAAAGTCCAAAAGTCCATTGCAATCTACGCTACCTATAGGTAATCGTGTTTTTTTATTCCTCTCTCGGTAAACAGCATTTACTAAGCAAAAGTTTGAGCTGATGTCATCATATTATTGGTGTGTATCAATAGACAAATTTTGGTAAACGTCTTACCATTTACACGATATTCCCAAAATATATATAACATTTAATAATAATGATTTCAGGACTTTGAGAGACTATCGGTCTAATAAAATTGACACAGCCGGAGACGACAGACGCCTGACAGACGACAGACAGACAGATGGACTTGGAAGATCTACTTTTTCATACTCTAGGGGTTATGAAACGTCGAGCAAACATGAAAGTAGCTAGTCGGTGGATGGACCCTTTTACAATACTTCCTTAGCTTCCTAAAGAAGTAAAAATCAAACGATACATACATATCCCAAAATTATTATGTTAGTTATAGTATTTACCAAATTTTCAAAATGCATTCAATACATCTCTAAAAATAGAAACAAGTAAGTAATTAATAACTAGTTGTACCATATTTTGCTAATGCCTTAATAATACAATAATAATATACAGAAAAAGACACCTACTGTTTAATTAAAAATTAATTAATTAATTTAATTAAAATTACTTTTAACGTTGGTAGTCCTTAATATATATTATTGCATGGTGTTTAATTATTATAGTTCATTATGTGTATGCGTGTAATTAATAAAAAACTCCAACTTATTCATAAGGCTAACAACAGTTTATACGTATGTATGTAAACTTAAACAAGTTGTGTGTTTTCCTTTATTCAAGATTTCAAGTCACTTCACCATAATATTTGCGATGGTTTTCTAATTTGCATGCACTCGTCTAGCACTACACTACACGAATTAACAATTAAGTGTAAGTTCTGTTTCGTCAGGTGATAAATATAGCTACTAACCTTGCATCCCTCGCAGGTAAAAGCACCAAAGTGGAAACCGGCCGCTGGCTCTCCGCAAACCTTGCACAGCTGGTTCATCTAAAATTTACACATTCTAATTATTAACTTTAACATCATATACTTATTCGTCTAGTTACAAGACAAATTACGTAGATACACAGATTCTCATTCGCAGAACGTCAACTATTATACCCGCACAGCGTTCTGCTCATAGGCGCTTAGTTTAATTTTACCAAATACATAATCTTTATTTAAATAATTATTTTATATCATTTTTAGCTTATTATTTCCTGGCTGATACAAAATAAAAATAAATCAAAAATATCAATAACTAAAAAAATGTTGTCGATAATTCCTCAGGCTTCTTCAAAACGGGGTAAAAAAATAAAGCCTTCACGAAAATATTACCAAAAAAAATTAGTCGAAGATTGCTTCGACAGAACATCCTGCGCCCATAAAGTACAGTATATCAAATCCAGCTTTTTAGAAAAATTAAAAGATTTGATTTTGAATCGTGATTTATAAAAAACGAAACAATTTAAACACGTCTGCCATGGGTAATAGCAGAGGTACAACTGAAGACTGAACTTGCAATATTTTTAAAAATAAAGTAAAACAATAAAGTTTTTACGCATTTAGATTGCTTAATAGTTATTTATGTACCAAGGGCACAAAGAAGATGTTTATATTCGAGGGCAACGTTTACAAAATCGAGGGCCTCTGGCCCGAGATTTTGTAAGTTGCCCGAGATTTATAAACATCAAGTTGTGCCCGTGGTGCATACAAACTTTTATTTTTCACGAGAAAATCTAAAAAAAAGACTAATTTATATAATTAATTCGTAAAAAAAAATTTACGTGGCGTTGATTTTGTTGTCAAGGAGATTCTATGTTTATTGCAAACACGACGTCTATTCACGGTGTCAACACGTATATTTTCGACCGCGGAAATGAATGAGGAAAATTGTGAAATTCCAGAAAACATTGTGAAGAAAGCCCAAAAAGCCAATGAAAATGTGTTACCTGGAACATCAGGATCCATATATGAAAAAGAATACAAAATTTTCCTTAATTGGAAGATTAAGAAGTGGCTTACTTCCAAGAATTGGTGGGTTATTCTGTTTATAAAATAATGATTTAACTGTGTTCTTCATTTTTAGTCAGAAAAATATTCACCCAGTTCCTTATGGTGAAAATACTCGATGGTCAAGACAACTTTAAGAGTAAACGACAACATAGACATTTCTAATTACCATCGTTTGACATATTTCTATAAAAAACCCAAAAGGTTATGTGGCAAAAAAATCCCGAGTTTTGACTGGCGAACAAGTCATGCAATTTCTAAAAGATGCTTCCGACAACAGATATTTACTTCAGAAGGTAAACTAAGTTATTTTTTGATGATTGTAATTAATTTAAATACGAATGTTTTATGCTGTAAAGGTAGTTGGAGGATGAGTGAACACAATTCAAGATTTTTATATAATACGTTGCTAGCAGAATGGAAGCAGTGGCAGAAATAATTGCAATAGAGGCACCTCCGAAAAGTTTAAGTTTACCTGAATAGTTTGGTATGAATAGCAAGTTTGTAAATTGCAATTTGTATCTTCGTTATTAAATAAATTGTCAAAAAATAAATAAGTAGTTAAAAATACACAATAATTTTTTTTAATTTTTGTTTAATTCGGTTTAGCAAAATAGGGCATAATGAGAGGGCGTAATAACTCTTTATGCCCGCTCATTGTGCCCCGGATATAAGATGCCGCTTTACGTTTATCAAATCATGGATATAAAACAAACATTATATACGAGTGAAAAATAAAGTTCTTAAAAGCCGTAGTCAGCCATAACTTATAAATGTGACATAACAAATTGACTTATGTCAAAATGTTCACTGCATATGGAACCACACCGCTGAAGTTTCTAAAAAATGCTCTAGACTTTACAAACATTTAAAAAATATTAAAAAGTCATGTAATTTGTTGTAATTTATTTGTTTGTTATTGTTTATGTTTAGTTCTGTCATTATGGTGTGTTCTGTGTTTACTGATTATTAAAATTGTGAATTGGGATTTATTGTTTTTTAAGTTACTATTCACACATGTCCCATACGTGACAGTTTAAAAATAATTGTTTATGTAAAAATACAAAATAATACCTAAATTAAAGGTTGTACTCCTGTTATTAATATTTAATATATAAAATACACCGTCTTCGAATAATTAAAACGGAGCAGATATAGCAAAATTTCTTCGATACATTTAGAATGTGAGAATTTTTGATGTCCCATACGTGACATACTTTAGTAATGAATTTTTTATAATTTACAAAACAAAACCCTGAAAAAAAATGACCTGGATTGTTCAAACAATTCTCAATTTTTCTGCTCTCAGTTTTTCTAAGGTAGCCGCCATTGTGGTCTTTTCCGCTTTAGAAAATTAATATGACTAAGTTCTACACAAAATTATTGTCGCAAATGTCCCGAATGTGACAATGGAATCCTCCAAAATCATTTACGATAGGTGCTCGTAATTAAAGACAAATAGCGATAAAGCTTGTCAAGCCGTATACGTGAGAGTAAAACAGAGAAACTAGATATTTTGTACAAATTTCAATAACCGGAGGGTCACAATGCCGATGGTCCAGACTTTTATATTGCTCTGACTTCCACTTATTAAAGAAAATATTGCATTTTATTTTGAATTTCGATGTTGTATTTCACATTTGGCTAATTATAACTTGTCTAGGCCTAGGGGAGGCAGACTCAGCATCCTCTGGCCACCCCCTAGCTACGGCCTTATCTAGGGATCATGAAATATCGAGAAAATATGAAAGTACCAAATTGCCCAATGGACCCCATCACTATACATCCTTATCTTGCGCTCTATAAGTAAATTAACTTGAAGTGTTTGTTTCTATATCGAACGAATGTCACGTAGAAATTAGTTTGATTTGAATGAGAAACGGAGGGTCAAAATTACTAAGTAAGCTACAATCGAACAAAATTTTCTGAATATTATTATTATTATTCTTATTTAATCCATATTATTATTCTTATTTAATCCTTATTAAACAAAGACGTTCGTATTTTCACATTTTCAAGAAAATGGGGTGACTCGTTCTTAATATGATCAATAAAAAGTGAGTAATTTTATAAATTTATTTTATCTAAGGAAAAAAAAGGATATTGCGCCCTGGGGTTTCAAACCGTCGACTCTTATAGTCTGTGAAGCAGACATTTTAGCATTTCGCTAAAGTTGTTATATGAGCTGAAGGTTCTATACATATTGGTAAAAAACAGGGCGGTTTAAACAATAAAAAAATATAGTAATAGTAAGGAGTATATTATTTCATACAAAATCGCTAGTGTTAATGCAATATAATGAGCGGACGTCATTAGCTGCAGATGATTTATCCAAATTTTGGTTAGCGTTTTACAGAATACTCCTAATACACATTTGGGAATAATCGGTCCAGTAGTTTCAGAGATTATCTGTCTAATAAAAATCTGGGCAAACGGCAAAGAGAGAGAGAGAGAAAGAAGGAAACGGGAGATCTATTTCTTCCTACTCTAGGGGTCATGAAAGTTCGAGAAAACGTAAAAGTAGAGAGTCGGCCGATGGAGATTACAAAAAGAAGGGTATAAAAACAAAAAACGTTCTTTTCTTAAGAACGTACGAACGTTTCCTTGTTAACACAACATAATAATCGTAACTGTCTTCTAATCCCTTTTTGTACGTGGACGGCGTTTTATTCTCCACTGTCTGACACAGAGCAAGTTTTGCTAATCGCACCTTACCAACAGCATACACTGTTACTTCACAGGCAATGCAAAATCAATGTTGTATAGCAAATGTCGTGTTTTTAAAACGACAAAAATGTTCTTTTCCTTAATATTACAGTTGTTGTTGTTACTATCATTATTACAATATTTTCACATATAATAACACATAAATACATTTGTTTTCAGAAGAGTAAAATCTTGACGGATTTGTTACCCGGTCATGTCGCAATACTATACAGGGTGTTATGGAATATTAAATTTTGCATCCAATTCCAGAAGAGGCTGTATAATGGATGCCCAACTAACAAAGCTATGAAGTTGGTGTTGTTTTTTTGATAGAAGAAAAGGTAGGGAAAAACGCGTGTATTTTATTACTCAATACTATTGTGTATAAATAACACTTGGTAGAGACGTTTAGGTTTTTTGAGCTTAGGTGCCTTTGAATCTTACTCAGTTTATTCTACAAATTTGTTAAATGTTTTTCAACAAATTCTTTAAATGATCGATTATTCCCACAACTAACAAACAACAGTTTCACTACTGGCGCAGTCGTCTACACGTACTACAAAGTGTTTCTAGCTCAGAGCTACTACCAAAATGGTGTTACAGTTCAGGACGAATGGATTTATTCGGGAAAGGCCTGTTTCGAGGAATTTCAAAACTAATTTCCAAATGTTACTATCGATAACATATAAGTAATGTAATCAAACTTTGCTCATTTCACAAACTGGGAGTCTTTTACGAAAATCTGGTAGTGTAGCAGCTAAGAAACATACAGAAGAAATTATTGCTCAAGCTAAAGACACAATGGAAAATGCACCGAAAACGTCCGTCCATTCATCAGTTATACCAGCAACTTAATCTTTCTGCTGAAACAACCCACACATTCTTTCGTGAGGATTTGGAACTTTATCCACACCGTGTCACTGCGGTATAAGAATAATTGTTGCCAGTCGATTATTTACATTAGAATTTTGCAGTTGGTTGTGAATATGAATCACAACAGAAATTTGTGGGAGAAGGTAATTTTTAGTGATGAAGCCTCGGATGAAGCATGGTTTCATGTAAGTGGGTACATAAATTCGCAACGGTCAAAAATTTAGAACTACAAAAATCAACATGAATTTACTGTAGAAGCAATACAACCTTTAAAAATTTGTGTTTGGGCTGTAATTATTCACAGATGAATAATTAGATAAATATTTTTTTATCCTACACTACTAGGCAATCCAATTTTACCGTCTCTAAGGTAAAGTGCGACTTTTCACGGCTAGCCCGACAAAATAACTAAAAAT